GTCTTTATTAGCTAAGTTATATCGGCAAGGATGTGGTATTTATATTAGTGAGGTGCTCCTTAAGGTGTTTTTATTTCAGTTTTTTCATGTTGTCGATTTGAATCGTGTATGGGATGGTGGCCTTGGTCTTTCAATAACCACCTACTTGTCCTTAATGTCCAAAGTGATTGCAAAGCAATTTAGAAACTTCATTGGGGAGTACATAGAGCATGATACGAGGAACAATAGTAGTAATTTGTGGCACTTCTATATGCAGTGCGGATTGATGTTCGTGGACCCTTGAAGCACCGGGAAAAAGTGCGTAGTAGTGGTGGTGAGGTTAAGACTGTGAATTTTCGATATGAGCAGTTGTTGGTGTTTTGTTTCATTTGTGGCTATCTTGTACATAATGATAGTTACTATGATAGGCTTTTTGACCTACCGGAGGGGCCAGTTAAGCAAGGCTTCGTATGGCAACGCGGCAAAGTCAACCACAGTGCAGTCCATCATGGTGGTTCTAGGTAGTCAATGGTAATTGGTTATGTGAGGAAGCAAATGTCTATGGGCAATCTCCTGCTAGGTGTTTGGCGAGGTAGAGATTGTCTAATGTGAATCTCGGTGTCCATATGGAAACAAACTCCTCTAATGGTTCTATTAGTGGGCGGGAGGATAATTTGAAAAATATTATTGTGGGCCAAATGGGTATTGGAGATACTAAGCCTGTTGAGGTGGATTCTGAGGATATAGAAAGGCTTTGCAAGAAGGGAAGAAAAGGGTACATCGAGACCAAAAACAGGAAACCCAACTTAATGTTTCGGAACAACTTGATGTAAGTCCTAAGGGGGATTCTCAAATTGGCCAAGAAGATGACGTACCTTAGTTGGAACTACAGGGGTCTTGGCAATACCCGTGCAATTCTTGCTTTAAAGTAGCTTGTACGCTCTTATAAGCCGAGTATGATTTTCTTGTGTGAAACGCTTGTGAATGCAAATAAAATGGACGAGGTTCGGAGGAAGGTGAGTTTTTATCATTGTTTATTTGTTGATGCTACTAGGCATTCTAGGGGTTTTGCACTTTCATGGAAAGAAGGCCTGGATGTGCGAGTAGTGAACTATAACACTCACTTTATTGATTCTCATATCTATAAAAATAATGTTGCAGTCTATCGAGTTACAGGTTTTTATGGGCATGCTCAACATATTCACCGTCATGATTCTTGGACTGCTCTTCGATGACTAGCGAGTCTCTCTCCTCTTGCTTGGGTGTGTATAGGGAACTTTAATCAGATTTTGTATGAAGCTGATAAGAAAGGTGGTGTAGTGGTTTCTAGCTCTCCTCTTACTAAGTTTCGTGACACACTGGCAGCTTTTCATCTTTTGGAAATGCCTATGGCGGGTTGCTGCTTTATTTTGTGTAACGCAAGGAAAGTGGGGTGGATTAAGAAAAGGTTGGATTATGTTTTTGTGAACGAGGGATGGCTGGAGAAGTTTTTGAGTACTTGGCTTCAGAACGTTATGGCTGCTATGTCTGATCATGCTCGTATCATTCTTTGGATATCTGATATTTGCAGGAATCAGCGGCAATATATTTTTTGGTTTGAAAACGCTTGGTTGTGTGACCCAAGTATTATTGATGTTGTTTCATAAGGTTGGCAGGATAATGGCAATGTTGATCTGTTGCAGAAAATAAACTTTTATGGTAAAACTCTTACAAGTTGGGGTAGACAATTGAAACACAAATTTCGTAAGGATATTGTAGTCACGAGAAAAGATGTCCCTGATTCGATTTCCAAGTGTTCGCAATTGAAGTTGGACCTTAATTATTTATTACAGCAAGAGGAGATTTTTTGGCAACAGCGAGCGGAACTTTTTTGGCTCTAAAGTGATGATGAAAACACTCAATTCTTTCATGCTGCAACATCGACTCAAAGTTGTATAAATAATATGTCTGGGTTATTTAATCATGATGGCATTTTTTGTGAAGACCAGCAGGAGATGAGTGTTATTATTACTTCTTACTTTTCTAACTTGTTTACTGCCTTTATTACTTATCATGATCCAGTAGTAAATCTTATGAATCCAGCCCTCTCGGCTGAAGATAACTTGCTATTATTAGCCCCCTATTCGGATGAGGAGATTAAGGATGCTCTCTTTCAAATGCATCCTGACAAGGCACAGGTTCTGACGGTATGAATCTATGCTTTTACTAAAAATTTTAGGGTATAGTTAGTGGTGATATTATCAGAAGTTGTAAGGAATGGCTTGTTACTTGTGTTTTTCTGGAATATCTTAATAATACTTCCATTGTTCTTATTCCTAAGATTTCAGGCCTATATCTCTCTGAAATGTTGTCTACAAAATTGTTGTGAAGGTCTTGGCTAATAGGCTCAAAAAAGTTCTTGATAAAATTATTTTTGTTTCACAGTCTGCTTTTGTTCTTGGCAGACTCATCACATATAATATTCTTGTTGCTTTTGTGCTTATTCATTTTATGAAGAGAAAGACCACAGGAAGCAGGGCTTGGCAGCGTTAAAGGTTGATATTAGCAAGGCCTACTATAGAGTTGATTGAGTTTTCTAAATGCAGTTATGTTGAAATTGGATTTTGATAGGCGATGGGTTGATTTGATTATGCTATGCATTTCTTCGAATAGTGATAAGGGTATTTTTAGAGTAATTTTTATATAGTTTTTATTAGGATTTTTTGGTAGTTTTAATTACTTTTATTAGTTTTTATTTAGTATTATTCATGTTTTTGTTCAGAACTTGATCTTAAGGAAATTTGTAGGATTTTGGCAAGAAAAGAGCAAAATAAGGCAAAACACTCAGGCTCTAGCACGCCTGTGCTAGATTCAAGGAAAATCAAGTAGAGACTTAGAGCCGAGCATGCCCCAGCCGTGCTATCTAGCACACCCATGCCAAAAGAGGACATCAATCCAAAGGTGTGCTTGCCTGAGCACAGTCCATGCTGCATTCTATCTTGGAGACTCAGAGCCTAGCACGCCCTAGCCGTGCTATATCGCACGCCCGTGCCACAGATTTCTCTCTAAACGTGCCCCTGAGCACGACTCGTGCTGAACCATCCTTAGAATCAAGCCCCAGCACGCCCATGCCAAAAATCAAGTGCTGTTTTGAGTCGAAAATGCCAGTTAGTCCCCACCACTTGCATAGGCCTACCTGAGATATTTTCCTAATGTACAAATCAAGTTTTAATCCTATTTAGGCACATGAGAGAATCCTAATTGAGAAGAAATCCAAAGCCTAAATGTTTTCCTATTTCCAAAAGATTTCTTACTTAATGAAGACTCTATTTCCTAAACGAAGTTGGATTTTCTCCCAGGAGGTCTATATAAAGAGGGAACAAATTCATTGTAGAGAGATCTCTGGTTCTACCATCTTTTATTCTATTATTTTCTCTCTCTCTAAGACTTCAAGCATTCAAGATTTCTTTTATTCTATTATTTTCTCTCTCTCTAAGACTTCAAGCATTCAAGATTTGTGTGAAGATTCAAGGAAGCCATCCACATTATTTGTTGACTAGTTTTTATCTCTAAATTCTTAATCTTGTTTTTACTTTTCATTATTCACATTGATTATGGAGTTATTTTCAACTTCAATTGAGTTTTATTTCATTACTATGTCAAACTAAACTCTCATACTAGGGTTTTGATGTAGCTTAATTTCTTTTCCAATTTATAATATTAGATTTGTTTTTCTTTGTTCAAGGTATAATTTCTTATTGAACTTAATGCTTTTAGGCAGAATTTCCCTCATGGATTGATTTATTTCATTAATCACTATCGGGAGAGGGTTTTTGATATGAAAAAGGTAATAAATTGCATGATAATAATAACTTGATGCGGAAGCTATATGGTTTTACTTATGGGGGGTTTTCATAAGTTAATGACCTTAGGTTATGAATTCACAAAACAAACCATAAAACTTAATGATTTAATTCATGTTTGATTGCGCCGCTATTGGGAAGATAGGTAATTAGACGGGTTAAAAATAAAATACCATTGGGAGAGCCTTGTTAGTGATGTTAGGGTCGTTCTACTAATTAAAATTGATTAACGAACTAATAAAATAAATTGGATAGAATTAAGTGAAGTCAAAATCCCTAATAGTTTTTAATCCTTGATTCTTATAAAAAATTGCCTTGCTTGATTTCTTCTTATTCTCTTTTATTTATTAAAGTTAGTTCTTAAATATAATTCCCTTTATTTCCGTCTAAATAATAGTAGGTTAACATAATTTTGGTACTTGGTATACAATCCCTGTGGAAACGATACTCTTTTCATTTTATATTCCTTGTTGAAATTTCGTACACTTGCGAAAATCACTGTCAAGTTTTTGGCGCCGTTGCTGGGGATTGACGTTACTAATATTAATACTAATTACCCTATTATTAATTTAGACATTTGGACATTTGTTCTTTTTTTTTTAATTTTTCTAGAAAATTATTTCAGGTGTTTATGCAAAGAAGATAAAGTAGAACTGAGCCCTTAATTTTTTATCTAGAAATCGAAAAGACTTGTCGTAGGAACAACGGTGCTAGAAGAGCATGTGAAAGCAAACTTGGATAGCAAGCAAACATGGCTGATGAAGTCAACCTAGAGGACGGACCTCAATCTCATGTCCGCACCTTGCGAGACTACACAACCCCTTCTCTCAATGGAGCTACCTCAAGTATCACTAGGCCTAGGGTGGAGGCTAACAATTTTGAGATTAAACCTGCTATTATCCAAATGCTTTCCATTTCCACCTCAATTCAAATATGGAGGTCTGCCCAGCGAAGATCTAATGCCCATATTACACCATTTCTAGAGATTTGTGATACTTTCAAAACAAAAATGAAGTTTCTTTCCTGAAGATGCCGATAAATTAAGAATCCTTTCTTTCACTCACTCTAAGGGATAAAGCACATTCTTGGTTACAATCATGCCCTACTGGAAGTTTTACAACATGGGAGGAATTAGCTCAGAAATTTTTGGCAAAATTTTTTCCATCTTTAAAGACCACAAAGTTGCGCAATGAGATAATGACCTTTGTCCACCATGCCTAAGAGAGTTTGTATTAAGCTTGGGAGAGATTCAATGACTTACTTAGAAAGTGCCCACATCATAGTTTGCCCAAGTGGTTACAAGTACAAACTTTTTATAAGGCATTGTCTCCTAACATAAAGATTACTCTAGACGCAGCTGCAGGGGGATCTTTTGAAAGAAAAGAAATTGACGAGGCATATGACTTGATAGAAGAGATGGCAAGCAATACCCATTATCAAAGCAACTTCGAAAGAAAGAAGACTGCAGGAGTTTATGAGACTCAATGCCAAGGTAGATAATATGGTAAGGAAGTTGGACTTATTGACTACTAACCCGGTTAATTCTATTATGCAAGCATGTGATACGTGTAATGGGCAATATAGGATTGGAGAATGCATGTTAGATTCGTTAAATTCGCAAACCTTGGAGCAAGTAAACTATTTGATGAATCAAGGAAGGAAGAATTACCCATATTCTAACTCTCCTTACTGCCCTCTCTAAATCTCATATGGACTTCATGAATGAAACTCGAGAAAACAATAAAATCCAATACGCTGCAATAAGGAACTTGGAGATTCAATTAGGACAGTTTGCAAATATGATGGCTTCCCAACCCCAAGGTACGTTACCTAGTAATACTAAGAAAAATCCTAAGAACAGGTACAAGCTATAACCTTGAGGAGTGGCAAACAATTCGAAGATTCAACCAGAAAGGAGAAAGAGAAGGAAGAGCAGAAAAAGATCCCCATCATTAACCTTGAAGAGATGGAGGAAGTAAAATCGTATGTTCCACCAGTTCCTTTTCCTCAAAGGTTAAAGAAAACAAAAGATGACAAGAGTTTCCTCAAGTTTCTTGATGTCTTCAAAAAGCTTCAAATCAACATCCCTTTTGCTGAAGCCCTTGCTCAAATGCCCAGTTATGCAAAGTTATGCAACGTTCTTGAAGGGAGATCCTGAGCACAGAAAAGGAAGATCGATGATCAAGGAACGGTAATGTAATAGAGGAGTGTAGTGCAATCATTCAATAAATAAATTGCCTCCAAAATTAAAAGATCCAGGAGTTTTTCTAATCCCTTGAACATTGGGAAATCTTGATTTTCGAAAAAAGCTTTAGCAGATTTAGGAGCTAGCAATTAATCTATGTAATGAAGTTTTTAAAGATGCTAGGGGATAGGAGAGCTAAAACAAAACAGAACTGTCTCTACATCGGCAGAATCGATCAATAAAATACCCAAGAGGAATGTAGAAGATGTCCTCGCAAGTAGGTAATTTATCAATTCTTGTTTTTTTGAAAAAGCTTTAGCAGATTTAGGAGCTAGCATTAATCTTATGTATGAAGTTTTTAAGATGCTAGGGATAGGAGAGCTAAAACCAAAAAGAATGTCTCTACAGTCGGCAGATCGATCAATAAAATACCCAAGAGGGATTGTAGAAGATGTGCTCGTCAAGGTAGGTAAATTTATCATTCTTGTTGATTTTGTTATTCTTGACATTGATGAAGATAAAGAAGGATCCTTAATCCTTAGAAGACCTTTCCTTGCAACTGCAAGAGCATTGATTGATGTGTATGAAGTTAAATTAACTTTGAGGGTAGGTCAAGGGGAAGTTGTTTTTGATGTTCTTAAATATTGCACGCTTCCTATGGATTATAATGACTGCTTTAGGATTGATATTATTGATGAATGTGTGAAGGACATTGACAGCTTGAATGTAAAAAATAAATTGGACTCTAACAAAGGTGACATTAACAATCAAAACATCAAAGATGAGAAAGCGAGTGAAGTGCCAAAGCGAGAGTTAAAACAACTTCCATCTCATTTGAAATATGCATTTTTAGGTGAAAATAATTCTTTTCATATTATTATTTCTTCTCACTTAACACTTGATCAAGAGGAAAGGTTGTTACAGGTTCTAGGAAAGCATAAAAAAGCCATAGGATGGTCAATTTCAGATTTGCAGGGAATAAGTCCGGAATAAGTCCAAGTGTGTGCATGCACAAGAAGGAAGACTACAAACCTTCAATTGAGCATAAAAAAAGGTTGAACCCAAACATGAAAGAAGTAGTCAAGGCTGAGATCATAAAGCTTTTGGATGCTGGCTTTATCTATCCAATTTCTAATAACAGTTAGGTAAGTCCCGTTCAAGTTATTCCAAAGAAAGGAGGTATGACAATTATTTCTAACAAAAATAATGAGTTAATTCCTACTAGAACTGTCACAGGTTGGTGCGTGTATATTGATTATAGAAAATTGAACAAAGTAATATGCAAATATCACTTCCCTTTACCTTTTATTGATCAAATGCTTGAGAGACTTGCAGGTTACCCATACTATTGCTTTTTAGATGGTTATTCAGGGTATTTTCAAATACCTATAGCTCCTGAGGATCAAGAGAAGACCACTTTCACTTGCCCTTATGACACTTTTCTTGCCCTTATGAACACCTTTGCTTAAGAACAATGCCTTTTGGATTGTGCAATGCTCCTGCGACTTTTCAAAAGGTGCCATTGATGTCCATATATTTTCTGACATGTTGAGAAGTTCATTGAAATATTTATGGATTGATTTTTCAATGTTTGGTTCTCTTTTGATTCTTTCTATATAACCTCTTTTTAGTAATGACGCGATGTGAGGACACTAACTTGTTTTGAATTGGGAAAAATGTCATTTTATGGTTGGTGAAGGTATTGTTTTAGGGCACAAAATCTCAGAAAAGGGGATTGAAGTAGACAAGGCCAAGATAGAGGTGATTGAAAAGCTACCACCTCTAAATACAATAAAGGGAGTAAGGAGTTTTCTTGATCATTCAGTGTTCTATAAGAGATTTATCAAGGATTTCTCCTAAATCACAAAACCTCTTTGTAATTTATTAATTAAGGATGTTCCTTTTGATTTTAACGAAGACTGTTTGAATGCTTTTAACAGATTGAAGAAAGAATTGATTTCAGCTCCTATTATTTATTAACCACACAGATTGGAGCCTACCTTTTGAACTCATGTGTGATGCAAGGTGATACACGCTATATGGAGCCTGTTTCTTAGGTCAAGAGAAAAAAAAAAAGTGCATGTCCATTTATTATGCTAGTCGCACATTGAATGATGCAAACATTGAATGATGCACAATTGAATTATGCCACCACTGAAAAAGAGCTTCTAGCTATTGTTTTTGCTTTTGATAAATTTAGAGCATATTTGATTAGAGTTAAAACAATAGTTTACACTGATCACTCAGCTATTAAATATTTGTTAGAAAAGAAAGATGTAAAGCCTAGATTAATTCATTGGATTGTTCTTTTGCAGGAGTTTGATTGGAGATTCGTGACAAAAAGGGGACCAAGAACCTTGTAGCTGATCACTTATCCAGGCTTGAGTTGGGGGAAGAAGAGTAAGTAGAGTTGCAAATTAATGAAGACTTCCCCCATGAACATCTTCTTCTTCTAGCAAATCTCCAAGCTCCATAGTATGCCCACATAGTTAACTACCTTGCTTGCAAGACTAATCCTCCCAATCTTTCTTATCAATAAAAGAAAAATTTTTCCATGATCTTAAATATTACTATTGGGAGGAGCCTTTCTTGTTTAAGTATTGTAGTGACCAACTCTTCAGACAATGTGTGCCGGAAGAAGAGATGCAAAGCATCCTTAGTTTCTGTCATTCAATGGAATGTAGAGGATATTTTGGAGCAAGCAAGACAACAGCACTTATTTTAAAAAGCGATTTGTATTGGCCTAACTTATTCAAAGATGCTTTTAACTTTGTTCGTCTTTGTGATCGTTGTCAAAGGTTAGATAATATTTCTAAGAGACATGAGATGCCATTAAACAATATCTTGAAGTGGAGATCTTTGATGTTTGGGGACGAGATATCCTTGAAGTGGAATCTTTGAGTTGTTTGGGGCTTTCGATGGTTCAGTGGGACCGGACTCCGATCTTCCTTGATTGCCAGACGCCGAATGAACATTGTGGTAGCGAGTGGGATTAATTTGTTCGAAGATGGGTGGAAGCTGGTTGCGCGCTTCCCAAACAATGATGCGCAAAAGTGTGGATGAAACTCATCAAGAAATATATTTTCATCATCATAGTGAATCTAGAGCATAATCACTGAAAGGTAAGCACTTTTGCAACGCAAATACTTAGATTCTCTTCTGTTCGAATATCAGGGGTGTTTTGGGTTTACGCATCGTACGTAGGTACCCCATATCACCACGGTAACACAAGTTGGGACCAATGTGGAGGTCACAAAATAGGGAAATCAAAGAGATATTGGAGACCACAGGGTTGGGCCAAGGTCAGAGGGAAGTAGCGGGTCTAGAGGAGCACTCGGATTATGCTCTGTTGAGCCTCTACGTAGAACTGCATTGTAAAACACCGGAGGGTTGGGGTATGAAGGAGATTATGTCTACATATCGGAATGGGTCTATTAGGTAGGAGGCTGTGTGCCACCCTGCGCCTATTAAGTTAGAACACCAAGAGCATATTTGGGCAATCTAGGTTTTCTTAGACTTTGAAGTGCGAAAGGAAGGTTGGTTCAAAAGAGGCTTGCTGAAGGCTTGAAGTATGAGTGGAATGGAGAATGAAGGATCAGTTAGAACACAAGGCATATTGGGCAATCTAGTTTCTTAACTTTAATGCTAAAGAGGTTGGTCAAAAGAGGTTGCTTCAATTGAATATGATGGATGAAATGAGGATCCATGCTGATGAGAATGCCAAAATCTATAAAGACCGCACCCAACAGTGGCATGATAAGCATATTATTCTGAGGGATCTGAAGGTAGGCCAACAGGTATTACTCTATAACTCTAGACTCCATCTTTTTCCAGGTAAATTGAGATCTAGGTGGTCTGGACCATTCACGATCAAGGAAATCTTTCCATATGGAGCAGTTGAAATAGTGGATGGAAACCGAAGTTTCAAGGTCAATGCTCAATGGTTAAAAGTTTACCAAAGTGGAGATTTTAATCCAATCAAAACCGTTATAAGCCTTGCTTAATCTTGCCTGAATTGGGTCTAGTGCGTCGAGCTTAACGATGTTAAACAAAAGCGCTTATTGGAGACAACCCATATTCTTTTCCTTCACTCTTCTTTTT